CTCCTCTCCACCTTCTCCTCCTCTTCCTCCTCCTCCCCTGCCCCACTATATTTTTGAGAGAAATTCTCATGCATTCTAGGTTGGCCTAGAACTCACTGTACAGCTGATTGTGACCTTGAACTCCTGATTCACCTGCCTTCACCTCCTCAGTGCTGGGATGACAGGCGTGCACCACCAAATCCAGTTTATGTGGTGCCAGCTAAGTCCTCCAACAACTGGATGCCAGCCCCTTCTTGAGGTTTCTAGGCTTTTCTTTTGCTTTCAACACACTTGGTGCACACCATCCTGTTATCCCAACACCCAAAGATGTCCTTAAGACATATGTGATGCATGGGTGCTGGAGGGATGGCTCAGAGGTTGAGAGCACTGTCTGCTCTTCAGTGGATCCGAGTTCATTTCCCAGCATCCACATGGCAGCTCACAACTGTCTGTAACTCCAGTTCCAGGAGCACACAGTGGTGTGCAGACACGCAGGCAAAATGATCATATACATAAAGTAAAATAAAAAATATTTTTAAAAAATAGCTGGTGCAGGATTTGTGTGAATTTGAGGCTAGGCTGTGCTATATCACAAGACCTTATCAAAAATCAAAACAAAAACTTAGGGGTCTGGGGTGGTGAGGTGACTCAGTGGCAAGAGTGTTTATTGTTCAACTCTAAGGACCAGAGTTTGGATGCAAGCAGCCATGTTAAACAAAAGCTGAGTGTGACCACACACAGAACTTTAACTCCACTGTTAGGAAACAGGAGTACTTGCCACTAGCCTAGCTCCAAGTCCACTGAGAGACCCCATCTTAAGGGAATAAGGCAGAGAGTGATTCAGCAGGGCACCCAGACCCCTCCTCTGGCCTCTGCATACATTCACCTGTACACAAGTGTGCATACACCACACTCACACTCAAAATTCCAAACAAAAACTGTTATGGTGGAACACATCTATAACCCCAGCAGTGGAGGCAGATGGATGAGGACTTTAATGCCATTCTCAGTAACCTCAAAACCTAAAACAGAAGGTCTGAGGAATGGGAGAGAACAGGATGGAAAAACAAGTTGCGATACTCTTATATGTGAGTTTCCTGAAGCTGAGGAGCAGGTAGGCGTGGGGAGTAGACTGGGTTCTGTGGGATGGTCCTCACTGATTAGGGGCAGGTCTACACTTGGTCCCTGCCTCTCCTGGTTACCATCCACAGCCTAGTCGGGTGTCTCCTCCAAAGCCCTGTGGCTCAGATGGCTGCTCTGGAGACAGCTATGCCCACTCCTACCCCTGCTACTCCCTGACATCTCTGCCCAACTCCTCCCTCTCTGCCATAGAATGCCCTCTTTGCATTCTCCCTCCCCTCCCACAGCTGTAGGAAGTGGCAACTCTCAGCCCTTTAGCAGACATGTCCTTCCACCCATCACCATCCTGCTCCTTGTGGTGTTAAAGCAGAGAGATGGCAAGGAGACCAAGCTCTCATTCCAGGCTAGAACTTGAGAGGGGATAGATACTTTACTATCCTCATTTTAGTGCCAAAGAAACTGAAGCTCAGAGAGCTAATGCCACTTGCCACTTGCCCCTGCCCCAGGTCACAAGGCTAGTTACTGGCATGGCAGAATTTGAACACAAGCCTGTGTGGTTCCAGGAATAAAGCTTTGAGTATCTACCGTGTGCCTGAATTCCCATCCAAGGCCCTCAACACTGTTGCTAATAGCAACAGACACACTGTCTTTTCTGTATCTTTGGTATTTTCCCCAACTCTGCCTGTACTTGGTCCTTCACCTATTTTCCTTCCTCACTTAGTCCTCAACTCTTTCTAGGTCAAGAAGTCTGAAGGCAAGCTGGGGCTGGTAGCACAGGCTAGTCACCCTACGTGCTCAGAAGGCTGAGGCAGGAAGACTGCAAATTCAAGATGAGCCTGGATTGCAGAGTGAGTTCAAAGCCAACCTATGGGACTTAGTGAGATCCTGTCCCAGAATGAAAAAGTCATAGGATTATGAGTATGGCTTAGTGGTAGGACCCCTGCCTAGAATCCCCCAGTGAAGGACTGAGGTGTTGCTCAGTGGTAGCGCTCCTGCCTAGAATCTCCTAGTGAGGTGCTGGGGTGCTGGGGTGCTTAACTTAATGGTGGAATGCTTGCCTCCTGAATTCAATTCCAACCACCGCAAAAAATAAATAAATAAATGAAGGGCTGGAATATGGTTTAGTAGATGAGGTGCCTGTCTCACAAGCATGAGAACTTGAGTTCAAGCCTCCAGAACCTATGGAGAAAGCTGGACATAGTGGCACAAACTGTAATCTCACTGTGGGAAGGTACAGACATGTAGATCCCTGGGGCTTGCTGGCCAGCCAGCCTAGCCTGCTTGGTTCCAGGGTCTCAATAAAGCAAGTTTCTACAGCATAAGCACACAACTATACACATAGCTACACACACACACACACACACACACACACACACTCAAAAATGCTGAGGATCACACTTGAAAAGTCTCCACAGAGCTCAGATGACACTAGGAGTCACCATGAGGTTCCTGAATTCTTCTCCCCACACACCTGCCCCCTCTCCCAAGGATCTGGAGCAATGACATGAAAGGAAGCCTCAGGTCATAGATGCAAGTAGATAGATAATAGGCCATTCAGGGACCTGAGCTCTCAGTTGGTTCTGTCATGCCTGACTGCTTGAGATCAATCATTTGCTTACAAAAACACCCAATGAGCGCCGATCAAGTGTCAGGTACCAGGACAGACAGCTGGACACAACCATGTAGTTCCTGCCCTAGGAGAGCTTCCTGACCATCAGCCCTTGGAGGAACACCTACAAGTGGAATACTGATCAAAGAGACAGAAAAGGCCAGGCATGGGAGGCATATCCTTTATCCCTGGCACTCCAGGGATACAGGAGGATTACTGCAAGTCTGAGGACAACTTGGTCTATAACAGTTAAGTCCCAGGCTCAAGAAAATGGGGAGGTGGAGGTTGAAGCACTGGTTCTATTCTCAGCACCCACATGGTGGCTCACAACTATTGGAAATTCCAGGGGATCTGATGCCCTCTTTTGACTTCCATAGCACTGGGCATGCACATGTTACACATGTATTCATGCAGGCAAAACATACATATAATCTAAAAATAAGGGTTTAAAAAATAGAGAGGTGGATGTGAAGTCAACCCAGCTGTAACACCACCATTGGTTTCCAGGGTTGATTTGGATGATCTGGATGGCGTGGCTGGCTAGCCAGGTGTTCCCTTCCTCTCTCACCATGTGTGTCCCTCCTTAAAGTGCACTCGGTCTAAGAGAATGACCTTCTCACACAGAGGAGAGCCATTTTTCAATCAAGGGTATGTGAGTATTTGCACCCTCCTGACAGAACCTCTAAACGAGCTCTCAGAAATGGAAGTAGGGCTAGAGAGATGGCCCAGTGGTTAAGAACAATTGTGTGCAATCATTAGGGCCAGAGGACAGGACCCAGAGCCCATCTAACAAGCTGGGTGTCCCACGCATACCTATAGCCCCAGTTCTAAGGGGATGGACACAGAGGGAGTGCTGGGACTTGCTGGCTTTCAGTCTAGACTCCGCATCAAAGAAATAAGCAGACAGTGGCCTCCACATTCACACAGGCACAGGCACCTGTATATTCCCACACATACACATAAAAACAAGCACCTTTTTAAATGGAGGCAGGGAACAGAAAATGGTGTCTGGAGAAAGGATAATGAACAAGACATCCAGATATCCTGAAATTCAAAGTACCCTAGTAGCTGAGGACACAAAGAGACCATGGAAGGATTTTCTACATAAATGCTAGAATGTTGAAAACCAAAACATGCTGGTTCATGTATGCCAGCACTCAGGGGGCTGAGACAAGAATACTGCTGACAGATAAGGCAAGTCTTGGCTACAGAGTGAGTTCAAGGCTATGTTGGGCTACAGCATGACACCCTACATCAAGACTGATAGATACATAGATTGCTAGATTAATAGATTGCTAGATATACAGGTACATAAAATAGATATGGCTAATAGATTATAGGCTAGATTAAAAGTTAAATGTTATATACATACATAATAGGTAATACACACACACACACACACACACACACACACACACACACACACACACACACACTCTGACCTCCCTATCCTTGTATGCTATGGGAAAACAAACCTCTAAGTTTATAAAAGATCCAGCTTCCTGGATGAGAACCTCTGAACACCTTTCAAGGCCTTCCTCATATCTATGTCCCCTGGAAGGACCCTCCTTGCTTGCCCAGCCATTGCTGGTCTTTTTCTAAGTGCTTATGAGGAGGAAGGTTGGCTCTAACACAGTATTTACAGCAGCCAAAAACTGGACCTAAGAGACTTAGTGACTTTCATGATTCTCCATAAGAGTTTTATTTTAAAGACAATGAGACCAGGGTTCAGAGAAGTTGGTCTAGAATTCTTTCCTCTAAAAAAGAGGTGGTGGGACCAAGATTTGAGCCCAGACAGCCTGCTGCTCAGCTGCTGTACTGCAGGGCTTCTGGATAGATAAGAATTTGGCAGAAAATTATCCTCTATTTGGTATTAATTATATTGCCTTCGACATGGTCCCCTATGTCCAAGGCACCCATTTATGCAGGATGCACACTGACGATGCTATGGAGGCTGCAAGTTGTGGGCTACAGTCACTGCCCTCCGGAGAGACAATCAGGCATTTCAGCACTCAGGAGGTGGGAGCAGGATGACCAGGAGCTCAAAGTAAACCTGTGTTGCTAAGTGAGTTTGAGGCGAGCTTGGGAAACATGAGAGCCTGCCACAAGAAGACAAGCTCCAGAAGCTGAGAAGATGGCCCCGTAGGTAAACTGCTTGTTGTGCAAGCACCAGGGCCTGAGTTTGGATATGTTGCTAAGTGAGTTTGAGGCGAGCTTGGGAAACATGAGAGCCTGCCACGAGAAGACAAGCTCCAGAAGCTGAGAAGATGGTCCCGTAGGTAAACTGCTTGTTGTGCAAGCACCAGGGCCTGAGTTTGGATCCCCAGAACCCATACACTAGGCCAGGTACAGCTGTGACTGTCTGTAAGCCACAGCATAGGAAGCCAAGATAGGTGGATTTTCTTGGAGCTTGCTGGGTAGCCAGCCTGGCTGAGTTCAATGAGAGACCCTGTCCCAAAAACCAATGTGAAGAGAAATTGAGGAAGACGCCCAATGTCAACCTCTGGCCTCCACATACATGCTACACACATGCACAAACACCAGCACACACATGTTCCCACAAACATCAAAACACTCTTGCATATATGTGCCTGCACCATAAACAAGCGTACACAAACAGAAAGAAAATAAGAAGCTCTCATCTAGCCCACCACATATCAATGTTTCTTCAATGCTCAGTCCCCCTCCTCCTCCTGATACTATAGCATATAGTGCCTCCCTTTCCTCCAGGCAGAGGGCCTCTCAGGGCTCTCTAAAGTCTCTGGAGTGAATTTCCCCTCACCCTGTACCCACCCAGCCCTGCCCTGTCACCTTTGATCTTCTCGCCTTTACTCAGAGAGATCTCCCCCTCTCCTTGCGCCTGGTATGACTTCACGGCCATGAAGGAGCGTCCGGGTACCGCTGAATAGAGCTTCCTACGTCTGCCTCTGCTTCCCAGGGAGCCCCCAGGGCCCCCTGAGCCCCCAGTTCCCCCAGCTGGCCCTTCTCGGGGTGTCCCGCTGGAGCTGTATACACAGAAGTTGTGAGAGGCAGGGGAGAGTGGAGGGACAGGGCACTTCTGGGGGGACAAGGGTCCTTGGATGGAAGGAAGGCAGAGAATCAGGGTGGGACAGGGATTGAGTGCTTTTCCAAGTTCTGGTGTCCTTGGGAGGCCAGCTGCTCCCCATCTCCTGTCTTTAGGCTCCCAGTTCCACCCCTCCCATGGCCTGCACAAGCAGTCTGATTCAGCTTCCTGAACCTGTGCTGGTACATTCTCCCAGCTCATGAGCTTTCAGTGACTCCTAGCTTCCTCCTGGGGCAGGTCCAAGGCCACAGCCAACTGTTTCCAGCCTTCTCCACTTCCTTGGGATCTGGGGCACATCTCATGGACCTCCCTCTTTTCCTAGCATCCTTACCATAGAACAGTCCCTTCTGCTCCCTCAGCTCCCAGCTTCTCCTCCCTGAACTCCTGAATAGCGTTGGACATTGTTCCCAAAGTCCCTGCCCGCCCCAAGCCCCTCTTCTTGCTCTCTTTCCTCTCTCCCTACCCTGCCATCTGTCTATTCTCAAAGGCTGCAGGCTTTTTCTTCTAGTGTCCTATCTCATCCCATCCATGCCAGGAGTGAGGTCAAGCATCCCTAACACCCTCTTTTTGCCCATGAGACAATTAGTAGGGGGACCTACCACTCTTGGGACAGGAGGTAGGCAGCTGGGTTGGCTGTGTGGGTGCTAGAATTGCCAGGGCCAGGGGCTGGGGGCCTGAGTCCTACCTACCTGGGCCGGCCTCGAGGCTGTCTCTTGGCATCTTCAGGATGTCTCCCTCGGGATGGGGAACGTGCCCGGGCACCTCGGGGGCTGCTGGCACTTCGGAGGGTCCCACTACTGAGCTTAGTGCTGGGGGCTGAGGGCTGTGACTGGCCCTGGGGTCCTGAGGTAGGGCCAGGGGTCCCAGATGATGAGGCCCCTGGGGCTGAAAACACCATCCAATCGGGCAGCGCCATGCTTGTGTCACTGTTAGCTCGAAGCAGCGCTGGAGGTACAGTCAGCCCTGCGCCTGGGGGTCCCCGACGCCGGGCTGCATACTTGGGGGACTCCTGGAAGGGTACTGAGATTGAACAGTGGTGATCAGGGGCAGACAGGTAGGATGGGGAAAAAGAGGCAGATAGGGACCATGAGGGCAAGAGGTGGTGGAAGAGACAGAAAGGTAAAGAAAGTGGGTGTAGGAATGACACTGAGTCATTCCCCCACCACTCCTTGGACAACTTTGGAACTTTGAGGAGTCTGAGTCCCACCCTGACACCCGTCAATCAGGACACAACTCTGTAATCCCAACATGAACCCTCAGTTCCTCCTTCAGTCCAACTCCTTTCCACTCACCCACATCCTGTTCCCGATGGTTACGAATCAGTTCCCCCAGCTCAAAATTCCCAGCAATCACAGCCACCTGTAGGAGAGGCACAGGGAAGTAGATGCTCAGTAGAGAGCAAGGACAGGAGCCCTCTTGAATTCCTCTAACACAGCCTTCCACTCAATCAACCTGCCTTCCACTCCACTGGCCCGGCCTCTCCCTTCTCCCAGACCATGCTCCCCTCTTGTTCCCTTAGCCCTCTGTGTCCCCTCTCTCAGTCCCTGCAACTGCCTATTAACCCCGAACCTCAGACCTGGAAGGGTGTCTGTCCGTTATTATTTTTCACATCCTTGTTTGCTCCACGATAAAGGAGGATCCTGGCACAGGTCTCCTGAGAGTGACAGCCAGTGGTCCAGGAGGAAAGGAAAACGCATGGTTAAGTAAGTTGGCATGAGTAACACAGCTGTTAGCTGGAGTCTTCAGAAACAGTCTGACCTAAACTAGCACTACCCAGGACAGCTGTCTCTCGACAATGTAACTCACTCTTTAAAGTGGCAGTGGGGGGGGGGATGGACTATGTATATAAAATACACTGGGAAGCGAGGCCTGGCGGCTCACCTCTGTCATCCTACTTTATCTGAGAGCTTAAGGCAGAAGAATTATAAGGTCAAGACCAGCTTGGGCCACTTAGCAAAATGCCATCTCAAGATAAAAAGTAAAAACTGAGCTTGTGATGTAGACCAGTGTTGGAGCCCCTGTCTAGAATTCCCCAGTGAGGGGCTGGGGTGTTGCTCAGTGTAGGCTGCCTGCCTAGCATGTGCAAAGTCCTGGGTTCAATCTGCAGCACTGCAATGTATAAATAAGGAGTTTCATGGACCTAGAATGCAAAAAATATACCTCTAGTAATTTTATGTTGATTCATATTGAAGTAACACTTCTCTGGTATCTACCACCAGATTCCAGCAGCTGTCTCCTGCTAATGGGGTTAGGCTCCAGATGTGGCTAAGACAGAAGCACCCTGGGCTCTGTGAAGGGCTTCTTGTCTTGTGTGCCAGGAACTGAGCTTCAGAAGGAAGCTCACTGAGTGGTCTGATAGAAATCACTGCACTTATCTCTCTGCATCGTTCAAGGTCATGTGGCTAGTGACTGATTGACCTCAGATTCCACTCCAAGTCTGTATTTGTGCATGTGTGTCTGTGTATGAGAATGACACGTGTATGATGTGTGTATGTGTTCCTGTGGAGGTCAGAAGACAGTGCTGCTTTCCACCTTGTTTGAGACAAGGTCTCTTGTTTGATGCTATGTCAGGCTAGCTGGAGGGATTTCCCTGTCTCTATTTCCCATCTCCCTGTAGGAGCAGTGGGATTACACATTCATGCTACCACGTGGGTTTTTACATGGGTTCTTGGGATTTGAACTTAGGTCCTCATGCTTGCATGAAAATGCTTTAAGCTCCAAGCGATCATCCCCAGTTCCCTGAATAGTACACACAGCATAAAGGGTAGAAGTCAGGTGGGAGACAGTGGGGGACATAAACACCCCCATCAGTCACTTAGCACTCCCATCACTCTCTGAGCTAAACCAGGTCTCTGAAATGACCCGAGAGGCCTCACACAAACAACCGGCTTGGCTCTCCCACCCTAACCTCAATACCTATCACATCCCTTGCTCCAGCTATGCTGGTCACTTTCCCATAGCAGGTATGCTTCCTCTCAGGGGCGTTCTAACAGCAACTCTTTTCCAAGAGACTTTCCCTCCTTGTCCTGTCTTTTGCCGTCTGCTCAGGGTGGGGTCTTAGGACAGCCTGACACTAGCTGTTGCAGCCTGAGCTAGCTCTAATGCATGGCAACCTTCCTGCTCAACCTCCTGAGTGCTGGCAGGAGTTTGTTCATATACCGCTTTCTCCTTATCTCTGACTCTCTTGCATGGATGAGTATTCTTCAAAGCCAATATTAACCCATTTCTTTCAAAACACTGTATGCCAGACATCCCATATTCTACATTATGTCTTCTGTGGTAGGTCACACAGAGGCACAGTTCTATCTGTGATACCAACCTCCTACTACAGTGTCCAGCCCACAAGGACTGCCCAGGAACACTTACTCAATGGGGGAATGTCATCTGGCCTTTGTGTTGGCCCTGACAAACCCACATTGGCTTGCAGTTCTACTCCACTTTGGCTGAATTCACGAGTGAATTCATGAGTACATCTTTAATACACCTTCTATATAGGAACCCCTTTAAGGTATACATTTTACTGGATACAGGCCTGTTCTATAGAATGGGATCAGAGCAGGCAACATTTGAGCATAAACCCTTGCAGTCAGTTACAGAAGCAGGTGGTGTGTGACCCTGGCCTTCAGATCCTAATGTTTGTCTGTCTGGGTCTGACTGCTAACATCACTTTCTGGATGGCAAAGCAAATCTAGTTTGAGTTCTGGTTGTGTTGTGTGCAAGCATGTATAGCCATGTATTCCCATGCTGTCAAACATGTATGTTTTGCATGCTTTTACAATCCCCCCACCATAGCCCACCTCGAGGGGCATGGGTTATAGTGGGGTTCACAAGCTCCATGTCTGACCAAGTTTAAATGTCCACATTTTAGTGAGTAGCTCCCTCCACTGGGCGCCTAGAGAATCTTGTATTTATTTACAAACTAGCACTTATCTCATGGGATTGCAATTATTTGTTTAAATATTCACCAAACCAAGAGCTTTCTTTCCCTTCCCTGAGGCTGGCACCATTTCTGATTCGTCTCTTTTCCTCAGAACCTGGCACCAAGCACACAGTAGGTGCTAAAGAAATTCACTTGGAAGAAATGGAGACGGAGGATGTGGAGCTATCAATCAAAATTCATTTGCTCAAGTCACTCAATTATTCATTCATCTGTTGAGTCATTCAATCTGTCAAAAACAGCAGCCACCTGCCAAGAGTCCTGAGCCCAGAGCTGTGCACAGTTCAGGTGGAGACCCACAGCCCCATCATTCATTCAATCAGTCATGCATTCATTCATCGCTCACTGCACACAATGGCATCAGGAATACTGTTTCTGAGGGCTTGGGACAGAGCAGTCTGTGAGATTCTGTCCCGGTTTTGAGAGAGACTCACAGTGTAGGACTGGTCCACCAGCAGGGGCTACATGTTCATACCACTGGGCCAAGATGACAGACAGCAAAGGGTGATGGTCAGACCCAGCTTAGATAGGTGGATGGATGGACAGATGGATATATGAATAGATGGATGGATGGGTACAGGGATAGATTCATGGATGCAAAATAATTACTATTTTCTGGGGGTTTGGTGCAGAATCAGAATCTACCAGAATTTGTCCCAACCCTTGAGAGGCTCACAGCCTAGGGACCTTTGCCAGCAGGATGGATGGGTGGGTAAATGTACGAGTGGACAGACAGATGGACAGATGGGTGGATGGATGGATGGATGGATGGATGGATGGATGGGTAGCTGGGTGGATGGTTAGATGAACTGGTATATGAAGAGACAGATGAACAGATAGATGGGTGTATTAATGGATGGATAAATCAGTGTGCGGATGGATGGATGGATGGATGGATGGATGGATGGGTTGTTGGGTGGGTGAGTGGGTGTGTGAATAATTGTGTATATGTGTGTGTGTGTGGTAGGTGGGTGTACTGACGTCCATAGGTAGCATGTTGGCTAGGATAAGCACAGAGAAGACTGGGTTGAGAAGTGGAAGATGAACTCACATTTGCTAAGCATCTATTCGATCTGATAGCAAGCAGAGTGTTCACTTGCTTGATCCTTTGAAGGATATTCATGACTGACCCATTTCACAGATCGTGGGAGCTAAAGTAGGGGAGCTAAAGAAGGCAAAACAATATGCTCATCTGGCCCTCTTTGGGGAATAGTGGATGCTGTATAATTCTCTGTACTCAATTTTCCCTGCTCAGATGAATGCCAGCCTTCTGACCGCATCCTGGCAATTGACACTGGCGATGATACTAATAATAACAATTATTATCACGGCTGTCTTCTAGGGATGAATACTTAATGTACACAATCACTCATCCCTTTCAATCAGCTGACATGATTCTCATTTCGGGGAGGACAAAGCCCCAGAAAGTGGAAGGCGCTTGTTCAAGGGTCTTCCTGGGTGTGGGGGGCTGGGGCTTTTTCTCTCCCCACCAAGCACCTGCCTCAGAGCCAGAGGTCCTAGCACAGAGGCCTGCATAAGGAGCAGTAGAGAAGGCAGTAGTACTTGGGAAGGAAATGCCAGCACCATGTTGCTGGGTTTGAGGAACACCAGTCATCTCTTGGCGTTGAGCATTCTGCTCACTGCCACAAGGCAGCACTTGGATACCCGCCATATCCCCAGCACTGAGAGTTCTCAGGAGGCAGAAGGGGCTGGGGCTGTTTTGGAAGACTTCCTGGAGGAAGGGAGGGCAGATCAGCAAGTGCTGCCCTCCCTACCCTGAAGCCCCCCAAGCAGCTCTTCAAGGACAAGAATCTCAGAAAACCTGGGGAGAGAAGAGGCTGCAGCTCCAAGGGGCCTGGCTCACCTGGAGTCTCTTGGTACTCAGATGGCAAAGGGGTCTTAGCCCTTGCTGGCAGCTGTCCCACTTGGGGAGACCCTTGCCTCCTTTATACAGCCCATCTTTCCCCAAAATTCCTGGAGAGGGACCCTCCACAAAACATTACTGAATATACAATATCCCCAGGCTGTACTTTTCTCATTCCTCTGCCCCCTGCAAAGGCTCCACCTGCTCAGCCCCTTGTCTTTTACACAGCTGTGCTCCCCTCCCGGAGCACTCTTTTTTCCCTCATTTGCTCCTGCTGTCTTGACATCATTCAGAAAGCCACCTCCACCCAACTCCAAACACGGCTCCCAAGGGAACATGATTCTCCATAACTTTACTGAGCACCCAGGATTAGACCAGAAGCTCAGTATAAAGCTTGGAGCCAGACACAGAGGAGAAGCTTATTAAACTCAATGGACAGATGGGTGGATGATGGCTGGCTGGCTGGAAGGTGGGTAGGTGGATGGATGGATGGATGGATGGATGGATGGGAGATGGGTGGGTAGGTAGCTGGGTAGACAAAGATATGGATAAGTGAGTGGATAGGTAGATGGATGATGACTGGATGATGGATGAGTGAGTAGGTAGGTGGATGGATAAGTGGATAGGTTTGTAGATAGGTGGGGGTGGATTATAGATGGATGAGTGGATGAATGAGTAGACAAGTAGATGTACAGAGGGATGAATTTGTAGATGTATAGATGAATGGGTGGAGGACAGATGGATGAACGAGTGGGTGGCTAGATGGGTGGATGATGGATGAATGAGTGGTGGATGGATGGATGGATGGATGGATGGAAGGATAGATGGGTGGATGATGGATGAATGGGTGGTGAGTGGATGGATGGATGGATGGATGGGTAGGTAGGTGGAAATGGTGAATGAACAGAAGTTGTAGGAGGCTTGAGTGAACTTGTGTGAAGCATAGGCCTTTGAAGGGGCAGATGGATGTTGCTTGGGCTGACCTTGTTGTAGAGGGCACAGATGTGCAAGGCTGTGTTTCCTGAGGCATTCTGGGCTCCAGGCTCAGCCCCATAGAAGAGCAGGTGTTCCAGGTGCTGAGAGTGGCCCCGTTGGCAGGCCTGGAGGTACAGGGAGTGCGTAAGCCTGATTATACCTCATCTGAATCCTTCCAAGGCTCTCTTCCTTGAGGTCAGAGATCTGCACCCACATCCCCTCTCTGTAAGGAACTCTGCCATCTCTTTCGCATCCCAGCCCCTTGGATGCTTTGTACTAAATCTGAATACCTGGTGGATTTCCTGCCAGCCGTTCTCATCTGCAATGCCCAGTTGGGCCCTGTTGTACAGAAGTAGCTCGCAGCAGCGGGGGTCGCCCCCCACCATAGCTGTGTGGAACAGGGGTGTCAGCCCTCGGCGGTCCTTGTAGTTGGGAGAGCCCCCAAGGTCCAGAAGTGCCTAAGGAGGACAGATAACTCAGGAAGAAAGGACAGATGGCAGCTCTAATTCCAAGGGGTTGTTAGGGAGGTGAGCCTTGAATGACCCATGCAGGCTCATACCTGTCTCATTTCCACTCCAATCTCTCCCTCTCTCTCTCTCTCTCTCTCTCTCTCTCTCTCTCTCTCTCTCTC